TCAGTCCAACATCAACATCGTTTGAAAGAAGGAAGTGTCATATTTTTTGCGGAGTGTTTTTTGATATATCACGGTAACTTTTTGATTTATATCTATACTTATTATTGCGCACGATTTAATGAAATGTTTGACATCTTTCAAGGCTTAATTTACATTAAAAAATAGCTTATTTATCAAGTTATAATGGGTTTTGTTTGCGCAACAGTTGCGCAAAAATGACTTTACGCAAATTTGCGATACCAGGGGCATAGAATTTGCGCTACTAATTTTACGCTACCAAATAAAGGAGCTTACACACATAGGCTTGCAGGTGTTTTTTTTTAGCTTTTGTAATATTTGTGTTTTTTTGAGGTTTCGATTTTAGTTCCTGCTAAGGAATTGTATTTCTATTCTAGCAATAGAACTCTCCACTTTTTTGTAACACCTTTTAAGACTTAAAGATAAGAGTAAAAGTTGACGTTTGTCATACTTACCTAATAAAAGTGTGTTTTATTTTGTAGCACTGTCCTTACGTTACATATCTTGTATGCACTCCTTAACAATGCCGCGCTAGAGTAAATCCAAAAATCCCCGCATGGATTGGGTTTTTTTAAACATTCTGTTCGTTATAGTAAATTGTCTTCTATGTAAAACGGAGCGACCACAAATTACACAAACTTGTCCACGTTTGGGAAAAGACATGATTCCAGTTCATCCATACTAATTGACAAAACCGATAATCGTGTTCCAATATCCAAAGCGTGTTAGATAAAAATCAATCAAGTAGCAGGGAGCGCACAATCACAACGAAGTAAGGCGAGTCCACTATTTGCAACTGCAAGTCCTTCATCATCCGTAAACCGTTTTAAAATTTCTCAGTAAGAGCAAGCGCAGGATGGTCGGCAGGCTATGTCGTAAGTACTACGATATAGCATCTTATTATGATTACTAATAATATAAAATGAAGGTACTAATATAAAATGAATTTATTCAGCTACTTAAATATGCCCATGTGTCATATCTATTGACTACCAGGATATTTATTTTCGGTGTCATACTAAAAAAGGCTAGTTTTTCATAGATCTATCGATTCATACCTACACTTGTTTGATGTAAACAATTCAACTGTGAAAACGAAAATCGCAGGTTTCCAAATGAAAGGAGCTTCTCTTTCGATGAAATAAAAATTTGAACTAGGTACCAGCAGGCCAATTATGCTCGCTAATTGTGATATTGTTTTGATGTCAATTTCACATTACGTATTATGCTCTCCGAAAAATGCGATATCAAAATGACATCAACTTATGCGTACCTATTATGATCAACTCTTTAAAATGATATCAACTTAAATGCGTATTACGTTCAACTTTTTGACTTAAAACAGTATCGCATAAACGTCAAAAATGTGATAGGTACAAGATATGATATGATCTTGATGTGACATAGGAATGTTTCATAATACCAATTTAAAAACAATGTCAAGTTGGCATCAACATCATATTGAAATCACATTATGATTATATCACTAAAGCATAATTGACCCGCAGGAATAAGGTTTATTCCATAGATAAATGATTGGTCTCACTCCAAAGCGAGACCCGTAATTCATCTATGGTTTATTCCTTATTGGCGTAGTGAAATCTCAAGTCAATGGTTCAGGCTAGTCAGAATCCGAAAGCAAAGTCCAAACCAAATTGACTAGCAAGTATCGTACCATTGGCTGGTTTCAATAATCTAACTCCAATAAGGGATAGGCCTATTAGTACTTTATATATATTACTATACATACCTATATTTTATTTATCCTTACCGTTTACAAGAGATAAGATTATTGAAATTTGCCGTCATTAATGTCCCTACCCACTGCTGAAGCACAGGCCTTCCCTATGAATGGTATACGGAGATTGGGCTATGACCAACCATGTGGGCCCAGTGTGAATTGGTGGGTGCTACCGACCGCAGATGCAGCCAAGACCAACGGCTTAACATGACTTCCGAGCACGGAGGTGCTCGAGATAGTAATTTTTGGTCACCCATCCAATTGCCGACCACTGCGAAAGTTCCTTAGCTTCAACGACAGCACTAACCCCTTGTGCCATCGAGGTCCTCCTTGCCGAAAATAACCCGATCACTGATAGTCAGGGCCCTTTTTAAAGGCAAAATTCCGCTCTGCTAATAGGGTCTTATTCACCCTGGCGAAGCACAGTGTTTTATGGAACCAAAAAAAATTACACCTTAGGATTTTTGCATAAATCAATTATTTATACCCTAATAAAGGCAAGAGTTCAATTCTCAGATCACTATTTCCAGTAAAAAAAAAGATATGAAGTAGCAAAGTTTTTGAAATTTGAGCATTAAAAAATTAACAATATAATTTCCTCAAAAGACGGTTCCATATCTGTACATGAGATATTTTCCACTTGATAAGGAATTATTGAAGTGATAATTTTGCAATTTTATTTTATTTATAAGTGTCCTAGTTTCCGAGATTTTTTTTTTTAATTTCGATTTTTAATTTTTTCTCCAAATATCGGCAAAAGTGGAACCTGGATTTAGTATAGAAAGGTTCTATAAGCCAAGTTCTATCACCCATAAAAAAATCAGTATTCACTTTTGCGGTTTTAAGAAGTTATGACAGAATTTAGATAAAGGTCAACTTTCATGATCTAGGATTGTCACAAAGGTCAACTATGAGTTAAATGAAAATGTTAAATTTTTTGTTTGTTAATTAATACCGTCAATCAATTGAATAAATAAACAACACTTGTGGACGAATATAATATACTTACATATACTAGGTACCTACCTAATGTAGATGTGATAATGTAGGAATACTTTATGTTTGTTCGACCACATTTTAACTTTGTACCTTACACGCTAAACGGTAACGAAAATGAACTATGTTGCTTGAAAAAAATTTCAAAATTCATTCAGAATCATTCAGGCATTCGATCAGAAAATAAAAACAAATCTTGGGCATAAATCAGTTAGAAGGTGTAACTATTATTGTTACAAAAAAAAAACGTAGAGGTAAGCAGGCATGAACTTGTGTCTAATTGGGTCTCCAAAACACACACAAAACAAACAATTAATAGTTAATACTCAGACCCGAAAACGAAAATCGATATTGATTATAATGACTTCCGCCTTGACTGGGAATCACCATAAGCGTTCCTTTTTTGCAAATAGAGCTTGGAGCCCATAAAAATATGTTAAAGGTACTGTAGTAAGTTCCTAAAATCTACATTATTGTAAACTCGTTCAAAACTAATACACAAATTTATATTTTAAAAATTTTCGTTCGTGGTCAGGTTCGGTGTCAACCCTAGCATAAAAATTTAAAAATGAATATCTTCTAATCGCCGCAAAAGTGACACGTGGCTTATTTATGTATGAAAGGCCACATCCATAGGTTTATTTCTATCGAAGTTCTAAGTTCCACTTTTTCGTTTTTAGGGAGAAAAACAATAAATACGAAATACAAAACAAAAATTGCTGCTCCCAAACCAATGCATTTTTTTAAGCTAAAGAAACGCGTTTATACGCCTCTGATTATGCCCGATTGACACATATTTATTAAAAAAATATATTGTTAATATTCACTTTATAAAAAAATATTCTAGATTTCATAGGTCAAAGGTCACGATAAGTTCATGATTTTTTTTCTCAAAAAGTATTTGAGTTAGACTTCTGGGAATTGAACTCATGCCTTTTTTAGGGTATAAATAATCTATTTATGTAAAAACCTGAACATGTAAATTTTTTTGGTTCCATAAAACACTGTGCGAAGGAACGTCAAAAGCTAATAATAATGACATTGAAGAAGGGGTAGGTTTAATTATTTTTAGCTTTTTATCAAAATCGGGTCAGAGGTTTACACATGGTAGGTAAGAGTTGGTCACTTCCTAATGGTAGCCATACACACTACGAGAAATCGTTACGATCAGACTGTACAGTTCGAACGGTACCGATAAATCGTAACGTGTATGTTATAAAACTGCAGTTTCCTATGCGTATGCCACCTACGATTAGGCTTGCCAGGTGTCCGGCTTTAGCCGGACATGTTTGGCTTTTTGCGGTCGCGTCCGGCCAAATATGTAATGTTTGGCCTGTCCGGCTTTTGTCAGGCTTTTTATCAGAGTGGCGATTCGTACGACGATGGGCGGACGAGCGTCCGAGCGGACAAGAGAGCAGACTGTTGCATAAAATAATGCATATTTAAAATGCATATATATGGCACACAGTCCATTTTCGATTTCATTCTCACTTTACATCACGTATAAATACTTTTTTCAACAGCCCAGCTGTAAAAACATTGTTTGGCAATAAAAAAAAATATGTCTGGCTTTTAGGGCGAAATGTCAGGCCTTATATAGTGCGCAGTCCGGCCTTTGCATTTTATGGCCTGGCAACCCTACCTACGATAAACTATTCCGTTCGAACTGTACAGTCTGATCGTAACGATTTCTCGTAGTGTGTATAGCTACCACAATAAACCTATGAACAGGAATGTATACATTAGACTTCGAAGCTCGAATGCCCAATTATCCCGTTCGGTCAGCATGGTAAAAGTTAAGCAACTTTCGCAATGGTCGGTGGGACGTTGGATTACCAAAAAAATTACTATCCCGAGTCTAGAACATCGAGAGTTTAGCCATCGATCCCGGCAGATGTGTTTGGAATTTACAGACAAGACAATGCAGACGAAGTAGCAGATGGGCACTAGCTAAAATTTTCATATATAACCGTCACGGGATAAGGTCCATTAAATAAATTGAATGGACACTGTGACGTCAGATAATAGTAATGATATTGCCACTTTCATGCACTTTCAAGTATGTACAGCCATTATTTTTAATAAAAAATTCACTTAACACCGATTGGAAATTATAATGTGATGTACTTAATGTCTCGAAATAAAAAGATAACGGATTTAACAGAAACACTAGATTCATAATTTACAGTAATTGTTTTCAAAATATTTTATTATTAACACAATTCATTCAATAACACCAAAGATTATAACATTCTCTAACATGAAACCTAAAACAAAATACAATTTACCTAGATGTATTTTACTTACCAATTTATAATCATTCAAACATCATTTTTACTATGAGGTATACAGAATAAATATATTATGTATTTGAATTATTTCACATATAAGTCGTCAGAAATGTAGAAGTTATAGTATATCTTAGATAATTTGAATACGACAGTGTCATATAAATTATGAAAGCACCTCCCTAAGTTGCCTTCCTAACCTTTAATACTTATTTGATTAATAATGTAGATCGAAAGGAAAATAAAACACGCAGAACAATCAAGTAGAAACAAAATAATATGGAATGTACAAATCATGTTTATTTACTGATTTCCTGGCAATACAATTTTAGTGACTCGCTATCGAATTTTGCTCAGTGGTCACTTGAGAGAGATTATTATAGATATAATTAGAACATTCACAGGCCAACAGTTCAATTAGGATACATAACGTCCGCTATAACACTGAAAGCTATTTAGCATGTAGAATGGAGCCAGGTTTGACCTAACTTCTCAGCAATAGAGAAACGGTACATAGTACCAGGGGTTTCAACGGTTCATAAATTATTTAAGATAACTTGTTTGGACTTAAATTTCTACTCTAACTGTACATTAGTTTCGCCTTACGCTAAAATAATCTAAAAGTGATATCGTCAGATGGTATGAAGTATCGTTCGCGAGGGACGGGGGGACGCGCAAATCAACACATGATATGTCGGACATCGGGAACGGGAGTACAGACAGAGTCGGCCCCGTCACCGAAACGCGGGCAAAAAAAATAAATTAACAATAATAATTAAGATTACGTCATCGCACGGTAGCGTCGAAACATGATAGTGAGGGGTGGTAATTCGAATCGCGGGCTTTGAAATAGATAGAAAAATTATTTATACAAGCACGACTCGGGGCCGGCGCGACCGCAGCATCGAGGCAGCGCCGGGCGGAGTCGGGCGGCGACACTAGTGTTGTTGGTGCTTCGAGCCTCGCCCGCTACCGGCGACGGCTGTGCGACTATAGCGGGGCTCGGAGCACAGTAGAGTGGAGTGTGCTCGGCAGATTTACTGTTTCGTGTACAGGTAGATGGCTACGATGAGCCCGTATAGACCCAATACTTCGGCGAAAATGAGGATCAGGATCATGCCGACGAATAACCTCGGCTGTTGTGCGGTACCACGAACGCCGGCATCACCCACGATGCCTATGGCGAAGCCGGCTGCCAAACCCGAGAAGCCTACGGCAAGACCAGCGCCAAGGTGGATGAACCCTCTGGAAATAAACGAAACAATATTCGTTTTATAATGAATTTCTTGGAACTTAACACTATCACAACAGACGAATACCACCTTATTTATAAACAAGGAATAAGCATTAAACTAGTTACGCCGTGTTTTGTTCATGTCACTCAAATGCCGTTAATCATTCTACAAACAGAGACAAAACATAGATTAACTAATCCAAGCTTATTCTGCGTTTATTAATAATGGGGCATAGTCAGTATAAACACTGTGATTTATGATGTTACTTATGTCATCTTTTCATGTCATTTCCAATTGTAAAACTCCACAGTACTTTGCCGATTGAGTGTGTTAAAAAGTGGTATATATCATATCGCAATGCTCATGGTAGGGGGCAGATGTATTCGACATATGCAAAATTGTACCTAAGCAAGCTCTAGCAGTTGGGGCATTTAAAGGGCTTAAAATAAATACTATTGTAAGAATAACTTGCCATCTAGTTTAAAAAGATAACACTGCTGTGTAATATTATAGTTTTTTAAGTTCAGCATTAGATACTATGCAGATTATGACCAATAAAAACTATACAACAACAAGTTTATCTTCAAGTTGTTCAGAAAAAATATATATAAAGTAATATCTCGTTTTCCATTTTAGCATTACAACACAATTGGCATTATATCACGGTTTTTATCCGCATCTTACTGTCAAACTCCATAGAATTTTACAATTAAGCATGATAATAACGCGATATATATTATATTGCAGTGCTCATGCTATGGGGGCAGATGTTATATTGAAGATATGTTACAAATTATCGTAAATTAACAACAATTTAGGATGCATTTGTATTCAACTAAAAATAACATCTATTTACATGTTTAACTTGTATTCAAATCATTCTTCATGCCATAAATGAAATGAATATCGAGATCAATTTAAAAAGAGACAGACAGAAAAGATATTGTCAATATTTTAAATATGAATGCAATATGTAGGTAGGCTGTATAAAGAAGGTACATGCCAAATGTTATCATAATATGATTGATCTGTTCTTATCTATACTACAAGTAACATGACTGAATGCCAGATTTCTTTATTACCTAACACTAATTTTATTTTCAAATATTCAAAATGTTGAAAGCTTATTTTCATTTGAAGGCAATCATATATTATTTAGGTAAATGATAAAGTTATGTTATAATAAATATTATTTATTCAAGTGTAAACCTGTGTACCCAACATTCCTATAATTTAATATCAAATCCTACTGAATCCAAGGTCTTCTCTTTTGAAGGAAATGATACACAATTATCAACAGTAGGCTTCAATTTTCCTTTGACCTTGCAGTGTGTAAACTGGAATCTATCATGCTTAAAATGTCAAAGCCAAACTTCTTTTTTTAGAAAAGAACATTTCTAGAACACATTTGGTTCAATTGTGGTCAAGTATATATCTAGAATGTTAACCATTTTTGACCTACCCCACACTACAGAATATGGATAAGGATATACTTTGTTATTACATAATTATCAAGTTGAAAAATACCACTCCTACATTGGTTATTTTTAGAGATTAAATATGTATGTTTGGTTGAGGATTGGGCTCAAATCAAATGTACTAAAACAAACATTTGCAATTATTTTGAGCAGTTAAGAGATTTATACATGTCAGTACAGTCACTACACAAAATATTCATGTGTCGTGTGGTAACGGCCCAAAATAATTGCTAATGTTTGGTTCACTACATTTTCTAAATCAAAAATCTTCAATATTAAAAGGTCCCAGATCAGATGCTATTTCTGGATTTGAACCACTACTTTCTAAGTTAGTTTTCAGTTATTGTAACTGAACCTTAGTTAAATATATTTATTATGTATTGCTAATTACCTGTAGAGGGGGTAAATTGCAGGTTTGTCCAAGGAACCTGCTATCAGTACTGCTACGACCAGCCCGTAGATGGCAATAATACCCGCCATGACTACGGGAATAATGGACTTCATGATCAGCTCGGGCCGCATCACCGACATGGCTGCGATACCCGTGCCTGACTTAGCGGTACCATAGGCCGCTCCCAACGCTGAAATTGGAGACAGAACATGAATGAGTACAGTTCCCTGTATATGAAGCAGCTACCTGGAAACTTTAACATTCATTAAGAATTTTGTCCTGATAAATGCTATTCTGTTCTTATAATTAAAAGATTGCTGTAAACATAGCAACATCATCTTGAATATTCAGTAAATTCAAGCTTGTTCTAAAATTGATAGTATTAATGCTACTTAAAAATTGAAATAACATTATTATGATAAAAAAAAACTGTAATTAATATGATCAATTTAAAAGATTTGAATTAATGTTAATAGGTATAGAACACATTAGAATATAGGTACATTTGAGATATTTCATAGAAGGTTAAGATACCACATGATAGTGACAGCTGACTTTATCACATGACAGTCCATTGACAGTCATGTGATGGTATTTCCAGCTTTTTACACTATCTTCAATGAAAATAAAGTACAATTATCAACATAATACACATAATAAAGAAAGAATAAAGAATATTACTGAAGTTTTAGTAACCTGCATTTAGTAGAAAGATAATTCTGTGTCATAAAGTTACTGAATCATATAATACCTTGTACTTATGCATTTGTACATAATGAATATATATATATATAAATCTATACAACATCCCAGTTTCATCCAAGGATTAATTTAAGCAATAATACTCTTTATGAGTCATTGGTTCAATAGATTATCATTAGTGTTTTCTTGACACTTGCAAGAATTCGACAGGTACAAAACAATAAAAATAAAGTTCATGCTCATTTATTTTTCTTTGTCGCCTGCAGCGGCGTAGACAGTGCTGCCAACTTGCGCTATCAATGACCAGCCAGTCACATGATTAATTTCAAGAATTGCGCTACTAAACCTTATTTTTCCTTTCGAAAACATTCCTGTACGATAAGCAACAATTAATCTACGTCCTTAGGCGCATACAAATTCCCGAAAATGGTCCAGACAAACATATTTACGTGCACGTCTGATGCCGACCACAAGGCGCGGCTATTACTAAAATTAGGACGCCTAAAATAACCAGACAGATTTACTATTACATAGACTCGATTTGTCAACTAGCTTGGAGGAAATCTTTTGAATAGATGTATTGAGATGAAATGCTCCAAATTTGGGAAATCGATAACGTATCAAGACAGCCATTTCAATGAAGAGCAAAAAGATACAAACCGCTAAAGATAATAGCTGACGCCGCCCCCATAACTCCAAAGAAGGGTCCGTAGATTGGGTTTTCAGCCGACATTTTGAACTTGTTTTGTGGGAGTATTTACAGGTCCCAAAACTGTGATGACTATCTGCACACACTCACTCCACGGAACTACTTTCGAACAGACAAATATGGCCCAAGCTTTGCAAACTCGATAGAATGGGTCATATGACGATTGATGTTCAAGGCAGTGCTAGATCTGACCCAAGTTCTGATTGGTTTTCATACGTCATTTCCGAAATGCGCAACCAATCGTGAGCTAAAGATTCCGCAATTCCATGACGTTCATCATTGATGTGGATCGCTGGCCAGCATTTTCGTAGTGCGCATGTACTACTGTACAATTTTCATACTTTTAATTATGTGTGAGAAATAAATCTTAACCATTACTGTCTTACATATAATGAGGATGTTTAATAATAAATTACATTTTTACTATGAAATAGATACAAGGTTTTCTTCTTAGTAAACAAAAATTTAATTATGAGTACCTACATTGACTCCAAACTAATGTTGCACGTAAGAAAAACTATTAAAATTTAGTAGTTTCATGATGGCTATTATTCAATGATCACTGACGATGCATTCATGCATAATATTGAAAACTATTAATAATTTATAGTGTTAAAATTTAAAAAAATATGATCCAGTAATAATTACTAGATATCCCCTGTGATGAGTCTGCTCTATACTACTTTATTATTGTAATGATAATTATTATTAAATTTAGATTGTATTTTACATTACATAACTTGTATTTATACTGTATGACACAGCAATCAAAATGTAAGTGAACATATATTATTTCTCTGATAAAGATTTAAGGCGGTGTGGATTCTGGTATGTTTTTCTAGACCTGAACTTGGTTTTGCAGCGGTGTATCCTTGTCATTCTCTATACAGACTGAAAAGGGGGGACTGATGTTGGATTTGGTTTTGGGTTGGGAGAGTATTGCCAGAGTCGACAACAGTGTTTAGGTAATCACATGCATGTGTCCTGCCGTTGTGTTTATAGTTTGTTATAATAATGTACACTGGTACCTATATGTTTTTTTTTCTATTTTAGTAACATAGTATCCATGTGTGGTTATGAGTAGTCATGCTCTCTTAAAAATCTCTTCGGTGGTGTCGTGTGAGGCGGGTCGTTGCGTTCCCTAAAAAATGGTTGAGCGAAGCGATGGCTGGTTCATGCGTCATGCTCGTGAACGGGTGCTGCCAGCGGAGATGAGTCTGCTCTTAATTCACTGGGTACTATTAATCGTTGTTCTAAACTTTAATCGTTCATTATTATTATTATTTTTTTTTGCCTAAACGGTAGGACACGTCATTCCTAAACTTTGTTAAACCATTTTTTTTTACATATTTTTATTTTTTATTTTATAGTCATAATTTTTATATTATTTGCATTTTTTTTTGTTTGTAATGAAAAGTGACTTTATGAGTTACCTCATATTGAAGTCATTTTTCAATTTGACGACTCTGTATATAATACAGGGAGAAAAAAACAGCCCTTGCTGAGTTTCTTGCCGGTTCTTCTCAGTACAAGGTCTCCCGCAGTAGATTTGCGAACCGATGGCGTAGCTTTTCGACATTCACAAGTGCTTGTAACAGCCTAGACTGAATAAACGATATTAAATTTTGAATTGTGATAGTCGTTTTTAATAGATATCCTCATATTTAGAATTCAATGGCAGAAATGGCAGGAGCAACGGCAGGTCCTTCCATGTTAGAATTTTTATTATTATGCGTAAAACCTATTATATATTTTACCCATTCGTAGCAAAAAAGATTTGTTTGCGAAAGACGCAGGATCAAGTACTGCTTGCGAACTACATGTTTTCTTTCAAATAAATTTCCGTATGAATTGCACACTAATTATAGCTCACATACGCTGGTATGTTCAGCATCAAAACCATGATGCAAGTGGAATTTTTAATATCATTAAATAAAACAAGTCCTTCTTGATTGGGACAGTTAGGAATTGAACCCGTTTAGGTATAGCATGCGTGTTTTTACCACTGAGCCACGAATGATTGTTGATGAGGTCTGATTTATTTTAATAATTAAAGATGACATGCATGCTAAAGATGAATAAATAAAATAGTGGCGATGTATTAAAAGTTCAACTTTAAAAATTGACTATTTAATAAATTTTGTGGATACCTACGAGTATGTATGTATGCTTTCTCGCTATCTTTAACTGACTTTGAAAAGGAGGAGGTGATCAATTAGTCGGTATTTTTGTCTTAAAGGGAATATTTGGTGTCAAATAAAAATCGTTTTATTTTATGATATTTTATGTTAACTTAGGCGATGTAATTTTCACGATTCTTTGTTTATATTTTTCCTCCTAATGTGATTGATTATTTTATGTTCGATGGGTGTTCCTTGTCTCATAAAAATATAGTTTATCATTTTATCATCATTCATGTTAACATGGATGGTGTAATACTGATGGGAGATTAATCATACTGACTAGTCATTTCAATGCGTAGGTTTGTAGGTAGGCCTAACTTCCAAATCATACTAACCCGCCTGATTTCATGTGAACCGTATAATTGATTGAAAATCGTTTTTTTGGAGTTGTAGCTCTTATCGAAATTTTATTTTTATCTTGACATATATATAGTAGGAATCTATATTTTAGAGTATGTGGAAGATTTTAATTATTATGATGTACACCCTGTTAAAATGGCGGGAATAGGACCTAATTTAAAAAATTGGTCATTTCGCTAGCGGGACGATTTAAATTGAGCAGGTAATTTGTTTTATATTCTAACGATGAGTTTGTAATGGATGTATTGTAATGAAAAAAAAAACGCTTTCACATTTATACTACTTTTTGTATACAATTATGAGCAATCAGTGGAATAATTAAAATAAACATTATTTCGATCAAGCAAAAGTAAAATCTGTAAGAATAGGTTGTATACACTATCTGTGTACACTATGCTTGTCTTGCTTTTATAAAGGGATAATCTTAAAAAGCAATCATGGGTGTCGATTCTGGCTTGATTATCTAAACCCAAACTTAAATTTGATAACAGTGGTATCGATTCTGGCATGATTCAGATGATGCCGTTGCAAACACTTGAAAATTTCTTTTCTAGTGCACCATTTAGAACAACTAGAAATTTTAATTCTTGTTCTAGGTTAGCAATGACCCTCCTTGACTCAAGTGTTGATAAGAGCAGTAATGATTTTCATTTTAGACATATCAGTAGTGAGTGATTGTATTATAAAAACTTTTGATTCAATTCAAAAAGACAGAGGATTATTGGGGAATATCAACATATATAATAAAACCGATTATCACTGTCATTGCGCCTCAACTGACCCTTATATTTAATAAATGTATTGATGAGGGTGAGTTTCCAGATCTAATGAAATGTGCTAAAGTTATCCCTCTGATTAAGGTTGGTGACAAATCAGACCCCAGCAATTTTAGGCCTAAATCTATATTACCAGCGCTAAGTTAAGTATTTGGGATAATAATTTTCAACCAATTACTAGCACACTTTTCTTTAAAAAAAATTTTTTTTTTTACAGTAAATAGGCTTACGCTTGACGGCCACGCGACTGATGAAGAGCGACGTAGCAGCCTAAGGTGGGACGCGCTTGCCTAGAAGAAACCGATTCACTTGCGACTTGAACAGCCCCAGATTATAGGTGACTGGAAACAGAGATTCCGGCAAAGAGTTCCACAACCTAGCTGTTCTGACTATATAGGTGGAAGCAAACCGTTTAGTACGAGTTTGTGGGACCTCTACGGTATATCTGTGGCGTTTTGCCGTCTCTCTGGTGGTTCTGTGGTAAAAAGGTGAAGATGGAATTAAGTTATGTAACTCTAAAGCACATTGTCCGAAATGTAACCGGTAAAAAACCGATAAAGATGCAACTTTTCGCCTGTGTTCAAGACTTTGGAGTCTAGTCTCGAATAATTTGTCGTCACCGATGAGCTTCTTTGCACGCCTCTCAATGCACTCCAGAGACTCTAGCTGATATTTTGCAGAATCGTCCCAAAGGTGCGAACAGTACTCCATGCACGAGCGAACTTGTGCTTGGTACAAGGTGAGCAGCTCTTCCGGAGTAAAGTACTTCCGCACCCTTGCGAGGATGCCAAGCTTTTTTGCAGCCAATTGAGCTCTGGACTCAATGTAGGTACCGAAGTTGAGAGTTGAGGTGAGAGTTATTCCTAGAAGCTCGAGCTGTTCGATTACCGGCACGGTCACACCTCGGAAAGAAGGGGCCAGTTGAAACGCCCTCTTTTTAGCGGAGAACAGACACGCCTGAGACTTAGAAGCATTAAACTTGACCAGATTGGCGTCGCCCCAAACGGAGACTGCCTGAAGGGACAAGTTTAAGCGGTTGACCATAGCTTCTCGGAGTGATTGAACTTCGGCCGCACTGGCACGCGCATTTGATATATAGCTCTCTACGACTGTGCTATCGTCTGCATACCCAAAGGTACTGGGTTTAAGCAGATCGTTGATCTGGAGCAAAAAAAAGAGTTGCAGAGAGTACAGACCCTTGCGGAACTCCGGCATTAACAGCCTTACGATGTGATTGGCAGCCATCTATAACTACTGTTATAGACCGATCACGCAGAAAGTCAGATATCCAGGCGCATAGTGCAGTGGGCAAGCCGTACGAAGGAAGCTTGCTTTTAAGGCCGTCATGCCAAACCATGTCGAAAGCCTTCGAGATATCGAGAGACACGGCCAGCTCTTCTCCGTGCTTCTCAATGGCTTCACTCCAAATGTGAGTAGCGTACACTAAAAGATCCCCAGTGGACCGATTTCGGCGAAATCCGAATTGTCGATCGCTGAGGAGATCATTCGCTTCTAGGTACTCTAGGATCTTGTGGTTCCGAACACGTTCCATGCTCTTACAGAGTAATGAAGTGACAGATATTGGTCTGTAGTTCGCAGGGTCGGCATGACTTCCTTTTTTGGGCACCGGTAGTACGTTAGCAAGCTTCCAGGATTTAGGCATTTGTTCAGTTTCCAAGGAGAGCCGGAAGAGGCGTGTCAGAACAGGAGACAGTTTGGTTAATATAGAGGCAAAAGTACTGCTGATGCTGGAACTGCACTTCTCAAACACATTTTTGATGTATGGGAGAGTAAGCACGATGTTATTGGCATTTTTTGCGACTTATCAAAGGCGTTTGACTGCGTTGGCCATGAAAATTCTTAAATAAAATTAAGCATTATGGTGTATCAAATATTTCACTAAGTCTTACACAGTCTTATCTTTCTGCTAAGATTCAGAAAGTAGTTATAAATGAAGCTGAGTTACAGGAGCATCCATTTCTATGGGCATGCCCCAGGGTTCCATATTGGGCCCATTGCTTTTCCTTATTTATATCAATGACCTTCCTCACTTTACAAGAGATCTGTGTGAGACAGTGCTATTAGCTGATGATACCTCTTTAGTGTTTATAACTAGAAGAGGAAATTATTGTTATGACGAAGTAAATTGTGCTCTCTCTGAAAATAAATAATTTAAAACTCTCTCGGTCAATAATTTAAAACTTAAGTCCAGCAAAACAAAACGCGTTAAGTTTACTCTACCTAATGTGAGACAGGTTAATACTAGTGTAAAAATAAATGACCAGCCTGCAGAGTTAGTGGATTCAACAAAGTTTCTGGGTATTGCTTTAGACTCTCGTCTGCAATGGGATCCTCATATTGATGCCTTGTCAAGTAGACTGAGCTCTGTAGTTTTCGCTGTTAAAAAAAGAAGACTCCTAACTGATAACTGGCAAGATTAGTTTACTTTGGTTACTTTCATAGTGTTATGTCATATGGCCTTTCAGCCGCTAATATCGAAAGTATTTTCTTACTGCAAAAGAGAGCTGTTCGCGCCATATACAATTTAAAGGCAAGTAAATCCCTTAGAGAAAAATTTAAAGAATATTTTAACACTGGTGTCGCAATACATGAAAATTTAATATATGTAAGAAAAAACTATGATGCATATGCAAAAAAAGTCAAACCCATAACTTTAACACGAGATTTAAGAACAAGCGTGGCGTTCCATGTTTCAGACTCCAAAAATCAAGAGGTTCATTTCTGGGTTGTAGTATATCATTGTTTAATAAAGTTTCCCTAGATCTGATTGAGCTTCCACTGACTAAATTTAAATCTCAGATCAAAAATACTCTTTTGTTGTTGTTGTTGATGTAGTTGATGATTAACTAAATGATCGTAATGCATGGACATTATGTTTATTACATTATGTTTCTTATAATTTGTTATTTAATGGGTATTAGTCATTTTTCATAACAGTAATATTGTACCTGTCTAATGCCGCTTCCTTTAAACTTAATCCCACCAAAAACATTCTGTAAAAAACTAGCCAAGTCTCGATGGAGCTGCTTGTTTATCTTTAAAAAGTAATTAAATCTAGACAAAGTCGTGCCAAGTCTAAGGTTCCTTACTGCGATTTCTTTATTATTATAGTTAATGTTGTGTGACTTGGCCGTTGAAAGGTATACAAGGGTACAAAACCAGGTGCTACATGACACCATGACTTTGTCTAGATTTAATTACTTTTAAGAGATAAACAAGCAACTCCATAGAGACTTGGCTAGTGTTTTACAGAATGTTTTTGGTGGGATTTCACTTCTTTTTGTAGAAACGTGGGCATATTGATTTATTTTATTAGATTTTCTTATTTGACACATTTTTTTCTTTTTAGTAGTAGTTCTTTTATTATTACACATCTTTCTTTTCTTTTTTTCCGGTTCTGATTCTTGAACATTAGTAACAGTTTTTCGTATTGCCCATTCGCGTTCTTTATTTATTCTTTTAGACGGTTTAATTTCTGAAAGATCGGCGCGGTATTTACGCCTAAGCCGGTTGTATTCTGTGATAGCTGAAGCTTGAACTTTTATACTCTTGAAGTTAACATTTATGAGGTGCACCCCATGAAGATTGGTTACTCGTGAAAGTGCCACGTAGGTTTGGCTACAAGAGAATATGGAGGTGCCAATGTCCATGAGGGTATTTTTTAGACTTAGACCTTGGTATCACCGCCACTCTTAGTCCAACGCATTATATTTTGACCAAATTTTGAGCGAAATGAATATTTTAGTGTAATTTGTTTATTTAATTTGTGTAATGTTCGAGTACAATAAAGACGTTCGACTATTTTTTCTTGTAAACTCGTAAGTATAAGTATAATAGCCAGTCTAGTGTTATCCAGAGTTTCCCTTTAATTTTATTTATATGCGCATTAAAAGTAGAAGGGGAGGTATTCGCCCAGCAGTGGGACGCTATAGGCTAGATTAAATTAAAAGATGTGTACCACTACGCTGGATTTTTGCAATGACAGTCGATTTTTTTGTGTACCAACAGTAGAAGGGGGCATTACCATACCTCTTATACAGATGAGACCAGCTAAGGGTTCTTCATCAGATACTTCAGACCTTCGATTTTTTACATCAAATAAAGCGGCCCACCAAGATGAATATTTTTTGTAAAGGCGGTATATCGATCTCTTCTAATAGTTTGGTTGGGCTCTTGTGTTTTCTAATCAGGGTCACCAGGTACTCCAGATCATCGATTATCCTAGTTTTTATAGTTTTCGTTTTATGTGGCCATTAAACCCTAGTGCTAGTTCTATTCTGATGATCATGAGTGAGTGAGTGTCGTAAATGTGAAACTTTTTTTAAGCTTTCGCTTAACTTCGGAACTAAATGACTCACAGACTTCCCTAAGAATTCTTAAAACCGTAGTCCGTCGAATCCCGGTTCGCCTAGTTATTTTCTTCGAACTTGTAGACGAGTCTCTTTGAATTTCTTCCAAGACTGCTTCCACTTGATCTGCACCCTGGGGTACAGCTCCGCGAGATTGATTTCGGCCGGGCATACATCCAGCCGTCAGGGTATTATGCGAGGTGCAATACTCTTTAATAATAAGGAGGTGCTCACTCGCACTTACAGTTCTAACGGACCTTTGAGAATAGCGATGAAACTGAAATTATTGTAAAATTACACACGCTACAGTTATTTTACAGGAATTCCAATTAAATTTAATTTGAAATTAAATTTTTAATTTAATTTACCATAACAATGATAAAAAGTAGATGAAATAATTTTAAATGCTTTAATCGTATTTCAATGATTTTTAGCCTATCCGCCTTTGAAGGCCAATTACAACCAAAAAGGCTAATTAAGTAGTATTTTTTTTATAATTTTTGGTAGTTTAGAAGCATGTAGAGTTTTTAAACTTAACTTCTGGTTAAGCTATGGAAACTCCATTTTGTATTTTTAAATTGAAGTTGAATGTTTGAGTAAATCCTACTAAAAACTAAAGTTCCATCTTTCAAACCTTTTTTGAGTAACTTTAAGTAATTTCAGGAAACTGAGATATTTTTTTTATTAAAACAACATTCAAGGCAATTATGTCACAAAAAAAAGAGTGTACGTACATACCTACTACAAAAAAAATGTGTGCGTGTACTAGTGTACACACGTAAGAAGTGAAACTTCTTTATGGCCTTATTTTTTTCGAAAAATGATCTACATGCAACTTTTCAGAAATATATATATAGGCGTGCGCTAAGATTTTTCAAAAACTCACCCACTAAAGGGGTATAACTACACCTTACCTTACCTTACCTTACCTGACCTTACCTTACCTTACCTTACCTTACCTTACCTTGTGTGAAACACATTTTTTTTTTTAAAGTTAACAGAAGAAGCAATTGTTCGGATGAGGTAAATAGTGCTCTTTTAAAAAAAAGATGGCGCGTAACCAAAAAACGTGACGCGTAACCGAATAAAAATGTGACGGTAAATTTTTTTCCAACGCCGATAAAGAAGTTTCACTTCAAAAAGATATAATTTTTTATAACCTCGCTGGAAGAAATCATTAAAAATACAGAAAAAAAATATAACTCGAAAACAAACAAAAAATTGTTGACGTCACTAGTTGGACCAGCTTGTATGTTTTAATGATTTCGGCTAAAGGACAAAGTATTCACGGCCAGTTTTTTTTAGTTCTATTCTTCTTTAAAGAGAAAGGCAAAGGCCAGCCATCGTCTTATTTTTGTATTAATCTTCCATTTTTTACTTTAGAATGTGGGTGTGACGCATTCTAATGCTTCTTGGAGTGTTTGGCACGAAATTTATCGAGTTGGCTTTTTTGATAAGCTTCTATGAGGTACTACAATAAAATTCTCACGTCCACTTGACCGGAATAGCGTATATTTTAAAGATTCCACTAATTCTTCAGTTGCGCAGACGGTTGTAACACAAAATTTTATTTCACAATATCCACTATGAACAAACGCCAACCGCACTCGATGAAATCCCGCCAAAAACCTCTTCACGGCCAGAATAAATTAAAAAAAAAACTGGAGTTTTTGGCGGGATTTCATCGAGTGTGGTTGGCGTCCTATTTTAATTATTCTTAAATTCATTCATAGTAGTTATTGTGAAATGAAATTGGTGTGATTTTGTGTTACAACTGTCTGCGTAACTGAAGAATTAGTAGAATCGTCAAAATATACGCTATTCCGGTCAAGTGGACGTGAGAATTTTATTGTAGTATTGACTACCTCACAGAAGCTTATGGAAAAAGCCAGCTCGATACATTTCGTGCCAAACACTTCAAGAAACATTGGAATGCGTCACATCGACATTCTAATGTAAAAAGAAAAACAGAATAACTTAATTTAAGACTAGGCTGTATGGGCATTGTTCCCCTTGCCTTCCCTGAAAAGGGAGAACTTAACCAAAAAAAAAAATCTGTCAACTGTCAATGTAAGTTTCACGTGTTGTTCTTTTGCACGGCAGGCACGATTTTTGTTTGATTTTATTGAAAACTATTGACTAAGCAATGTAATTTATTTCTTTGATATTTGAAAACAAAAGTTTTTATTCTTTTTTCTACACCAAAATAGTAATAAGATGAAGTTCAATTTTAAGGTAAATTATATCAAAAAAATCCTAAATTTATTATCTTTCTCGACAGGTTTAGTTTTATTTCTGATTTTCACTTAGTTCACTTAAATAATTATATTTCTTACTAAGCAGCTGATTATGTTCAAGCCAGTTCATACACATTTGGTATTTATATACAGATGGTTTACCATAATTTGATGTTTCAACATATAACCTGTTTTTATTCAGTTTCAGAATTTATTAGGCACTGTATACAAAAAAGGTGATATTTTATTCACAAACGATGGTAACTGTGTAATAAGTCCGGTGGGCAACAAAATAACTGTTTATAATCTCAAACAGTGAGTATTAATTTTATATAATTACTACAATAGGTAAATTGAAATGAATTGTATCCTGTAATTAATGGACAATTTCCACTGATAAGTAAATTCGTCATTCCAAGTACTGTTAGTAAGTCTAGGTAGTTTTTTATTACTTCAATTTACCTGAATATTACAAATTAAAAGCTCCGATAATGGTATGATAAGGCACAGATCAATGGCTTAGCTGTACTAAACAATATGGGGAGTAGAACATATTGATGTGGTGGATATGCAACTAAAAATTACTTTTGACTTTTTATATTCTAATATTGTTTTCTTTTTCAGAAACAAAAGTAACACCTTGTCGGTGGAGAGCAATTATAATTACACAGCAATCGATGTTTCTCCCAATGGAGCAGTTCTGTTGGCTATTAACGAAAGTATGTAATTTATTGTAGTATCTTTGTAGTTGATTTTAAATTTAGATTCGTTCGGCACTTCAAAAGGATCCTGCTAATATTATAAATTTTAGAGTTTGTATGTTTGATATTCAATCATGCAAAAACAGCTAAACTGATTTGGATTAAATTTGGCATAAATATAGTTTATAGTTTATTACCTGGATTGAGATATGGGATACTTTTTATAGGCTTAATTAAATTTCTGGACCAGTTAGAAAAATGTTTATGACTGAATGTTAACAAGTTATAAAATTTCTTAACCTGTAATTGATTAATGTTTCTAGTTTCACCCTTGCTTTACCTATGCCTCATTAATGTTGAGGTTATAATTTTAATATTAAGGAAATAATTTTGAGTCAAATAATAATTTATATTTGTTTTTAGAGGGTGAAGCTCAGATGGTTAGTTTGCTCACATGTGCAGTGATACACAGGTATAAATTTAAACACCAAGTCAATGCTGTGAAGTTTAGTCCTGATGGAAAATATTTTGCAGCATGCTGCAGGGAAACAGGTGAGACTAAATTTATTTCATTAATGAGATAGCCAAGCTATTACCATGATCAAAATAAGTTTCTTCTGCAGTTGATTTCTAAACATTGTTACTCATTATCATTTAAGTTTACTGTGACTAAAAGTAGACTACTTCTAAGAGCTAAAAAGACAATTTTCCTATAAATGCCTCTATTCATGAAGTATCCTCCTATAAATAATATGTGTTGTCATATCAGGTGTCTTAAAACTAGTCACAGCTAAAATAGTGGAAATCAATGAATTTATACATTGAGTTAGCTTTGGTTGGTTGTCTTTCATACAATATTCTTGATTTTTGTTACACAAATAAATTTCCCATTAGCAGTAATCGGCATAGTAAAAATTTTTCCTCTTCAGTTTAATTAATGAATGTTTTACAATATTGTTTGGTAAATATGCTTCATTCCTGTTTTAAGTTTTTTTAAATGAACTACAGTAATCCACCATAACATTATACAATGAATTTGAACTAAAAACTGTGTGCATGTTATGTTTTCAGTTTTTGTTATGTCAGCCCCATGTAAATTCACTGGTGAATATCGTTCATTTGAAATGAAGAGAGTGTTCAGAAAAGCACATGATGAAGTCACATGTCTGGATTGGTCCACATGCTCTAAAGTATTAGCTGTTGGATCTAAAGATACAACCACCAAAATCTACACAGTTGATTACTTAGATAACTTTAATATGTACGCTCTTAGTGGGCACACAGATAAAATTATTGGAACATTCTTTGAAAAGAAGAGCCTGGACCTTATCACTGTTAGCAGGAACGGACAAGTTTGCATGTGGGAAGCGAGTATAGATTCAGATGATTTGGTGGTATCCGATGTTCAGATATCTCATAAGAAAAGAAGAAAAGTAATGAAGGAAGACGACAGTGATGATGATATTAATGAAAAGGATGTGATCGAGAAAGATAAAGAACAAGTGAGTGGTTAAGAAATCTTTTGTTTTTAAACCTTTTACTTTCAAAGAATCAGTATAGTGAAATACTGTTATGGTGGTCCTTCTTTTTTGATTTTCAAGCATACTTTACAAAGTTCACTAATATGTTAGTAAGAGAGAGAGCTAAAATTTACTAATCCTAATTCTCCACTCCTTGAGTTTGTCTCCTCTACCAACTTGACTGGTTTCATGGTTTTAAGGGTTCCGTAGTCCTGGCAAGGAACCCATATAGTTTCGTCATGTCTATCTGTCCATCTCCAGTTAAGCTTGGAGACTAAAACTATAACAGAATAGATAGATAGGAGTAATAGGTGTTCAACTTTGGGTAAAGAATATTTCTTACTTATTCAAAATTCCTTAGAATAAAACATTAATAGTGACATAGATAGCTTCATATATGACTTACATAAATATGACCATATCTCACATTTTCGTCATCAACTCAAATGGCTTCCTAATCGTGAGCTTAGGAACCTTAGAGTTGATTGTGCTCTTTTTAATCTTCTTTACGATCCACATACACCAGCTTACCTGAAAAGCAGATTTAGGTTTCTGTGTGATTCTCATGACCGTGTCCTCCGTTCAACCGACAACCTCCTTCTGCATACTCCCGTCCACTCTTCTGGCTTCGTCTCATATTCTTTTGCCATCACGGCTGTACGACTCTGGAATGACTTGTCCCCTAATATTCGTAAAGCTCCTAACAAACTTGTATTTAAGGGATTGGTTCGTGAGCATATTTTAATATAATTAATCTGCGTTCTCATATTTGACTGGCATAATAATGTGTATGTTTATGTATTATATATATATATATTTAGATGTATTTAAATAAATAATAAAATAAAAAGCCTTTTATTAACCATAATTAAACTAACATAAACATTTTTATAAACTATTAATTATGGTCCCCTGTAAGGGTGAAGGCCTCCTACATTTCCTTCCACGCGTCCCTGTTATTGGCTTTTTGGGTCCAGTTCTCCCCGGCTGTGCTTACAATGATCGGTGCCTACAACGGTCGTCTGCCCACTGTTTGAATGGTCTGCCAACCCTCCTTTTTCCAGTGGGTCCTGTCCACTTTGTCACTCTAATTGACCATCTATCATCTGTAAGGCGGCAGACATGTTCAGCCCAGCGCCACTTAAGTTTTAGTGCATGTGCGAGAGCATCAGTCAGTTTGGTCTTCGCTCTCATAGTGGTACTCTTTACTTTATGGACCTTCCTGATTTTGAGGATACTCCGCTCCATTGCTCTCTGTGTGGTTGTTATTTTACTTTTTACCTTTTTTGTGTATACCCATGACTGGCAGATTTGCGGAAAATTGATCGAAAACAATTCATCGAATTACAATTCTTCGAACACAATTCATCGAAAAAACAATTCGTCGAAAAACAATTCTTCGAACGGTAATTCCAAAAAAAAAAATTAAAATTTAGCAGGAGGGAGGCTAAAACGAGGTGGGGAAAGGGGAAAAAGTATGAAAAAAAAAACGTTGCACGTATAAAAGTGTCGTTTCTGGCGCTTCGCCGGCGGCTGCCGCGGCACGCTCGCTCCGCTCGCTCGGCTCGCGCGTTTTTGGTCATCATACTAACCTAACCTAACCTAATGAACTCTTTAGACTTTATTCATTGCGGGGGGCTTCGCCCCCCGAGCCCCCCTTGCTCGGGCTGCGCCCCCCCGCCCCACTTCGGTTCTGTCACTAATAATATGAAATATAAAAAGCATGAAATTCTACACATTAATTTATTTTGTATACATGTTTTATGGCATTAATTGTTTCTAAAAACGCGTCTTTTTTATATTTAATTATGTTTCTGCGCCACAAATATTCTACAATCGAATCTGCAAAATCGTGCGGATGGTTATAATTATCTTTTCTGAAATATCTTTTGACAGCCCTCCACTGGGACTCGATCCTCTGCGTGTGAGTACCGTCTGGGGCAATAAATGGGTTGTCTGGATCAGAATGGTTTACTTTTTTGTTTTTCGGGGAATTACCGTTCGAAGAATTGTTGTTCGACGAATTGTGTTCGAAGAATTGTAATTCGATGAATTGTTTTCGATGATTTTTCCGGTGAGGTGACTGGCATCCATATAGTAGGCATGGTAGCAGGCATGTGTCTATCACTACTTTTTTGTTATTGAGACTGTGGTTTCCTTTCAAGATTTCTTATAGGGACCAAAACTTTCTCCAAGCCAAGTTTATTCTGCGCTCTACCTCTTCTTCCCTATCTTTATTGGTGAAAGATACTTGTTTTCCTAGGTAGATATATTTATCAATATATTCAATGTCACTACCCGCTACTGTGATAGGTTTCTTGTAACTGTTGGTCATGATTTTTGTTTTATTTTTATTCATCTTCAGGCCCACCTTAGAACTTTCTTCATCCAGTCCTAATAACATTTTTTCTAATTCTGATGCTGTTTCTGAAAATACAGCAATGTCATCAGCGAATCTTAGCTGGCTCAATTAGTTATGTCCAATTTTGATACCTTTATTTTCCCATTTTACATTTTTAAATATAGATTCAAGGACCGCATAAAAAAGTTTAGGGGATATCGGGTCGCCTTGTCTGACGCCTTTTACAATTTTAAACTCTTTACCTCTTCTTTCTAGCTTTATTTTGCTTGTGCTGTGTGCGTAGATGTTTTTTAAGATATTAATGTATTTCCTGTTGATGTTTAGTATTTGTAATGCATTCCAAATTGAGTTATGGCTTATGCTGTCGAATGCCTTGCTGTAGTCAATAAATGCTATGTATAATGGCCTGTTGAATTCATTGTACTTCTCAATAATTAGCTCCAGTACATATATGTGATCCGTAGTGCTAAAGCTTGAGCGGAAGCCGGCTTGTTCAATGGGTTGTGCTTCGTCTATCCTTTTAGTAAGTTTTTTCAATATGATGGAAGAGAACAGCTTGTACATGCTTGTCAGCAGACTAATTAGTCGGTAGTTCCCTATGTCTAATGGGCTCGCCTTTTTATAGATCAAAATAATGTCAGAGTTACTCCATTGTTTCGGCACATTTTCTGTTTCAATCACGATATTGAATAGTCTCGTTATGTGCTTAGCTAAAACTACCTTCCCCATTCTCAAAGCTTCGTTTACGATTCCATCAGGGCCTGGACTTTTTTCTGATTTTAATTTCTGTAACAGTTCCATTACCTCTGTTTCATTTATCGTTTCTGTGCTTTGATCTAAATTTTGATTGACGTTTACCTCTTGAATTTTATCATCGTGCCTTTTCTTGTAGAGTTCTTCGTAAAATGCCGTAGCCGAATCTATTATGTCCATCCTTGATATTGTAGTCTTTGTGTTATGCTTTAGCTTCTGTATCCAAGTTTTGTACAATTTTAGATCTTTGAACGCCCTTTTAGTACTTCTGAATTTTGTTAGATTGTTTGTTATTATTTTATGTCTATGTCGCTTATAGTGGACTTTTTTGTTTCCTTGAATATTTGGCAAAGTTCCATCTTTATGGCTCGATCTTTATTCCTTTGGCGCATCAATTCCGATCGCTTTTTAATTAGCTGTTCTGTTCTAGTGCTGAATATATTGTGTTTTTTCGCTCTGGTTGTGCTCTTTGTACTCTTAAAACTATGTTTAATGGCCTTTTCTATATTGTTGTAGTAGTTTTGAACATTCATGTCTTCTTTTGTATCTTGCACGTAGTTTTCAAGATGACTATTTAAGTTGAGAAGATTTCATCTTCGGTTCTTGGGCCTTGAGAGTTTACTTTAAAGTTTCTTCTACTCTTCTTCGGGTGGGACTGAATAAGTGTTGCACGTGCTAGTCGGTGATCTGATGGGAATCTGACATTGTTCAGGACTTCAATATTGGTTATATTTTTTGGTCTATTTGTCATTATATAGTCGATTTCGTTTTTCACTTTTTGATTTGGTGATATCCAGGTCCATTTCTTATTTTCTTTCTTGTTGATAGATAGATGTATTTATTGTATATATATTTTAATATTTGTGTATTCTATTGATATATATATTACCTACCTGGTTTATTTAGCATATGTCCTTATTGCACCCCCGTATTTTTATTTCTCACGCTTTTACTGGTCGATTGGTAGAGAATGCCTTATGGCATTATGTCCGCCATTTGCTGTTTTTTTTAGCAATAAAGATAAATAAATAAATAGATGAAGTTATTGTAGCATAAAACCTTGCACTGCAACAGAATCTAAAAGAAACTATTTAAAAACCACAATAAGTATTAGCAATAGCTTCTGAGTCGCGCTAATGTTACGTTTTTATAAAAAGTATATAAGGACTTGAAAATATCAGCAGTAATACCGCATCATCCCCTTCTCAGGGGATGATCGCTTCATATGAAGCTTGCAAGGCCCTTCTGGCCATAAGCATGAACTACGAGTGTGTTTTAGGCAGTATAAGTCTGACATAATTTGGCGGCCAGCTGGAGGGTATTCCCATGAGGATTTCACATCCGTTCCCCCTCCTGGAAGAAACAATGGGGGGGTATCATGCGTATTTAAAATAATGTATACATGTATGTATGTAATGTCGAATTGACTTTGAGTTGGAGACACAGTTTGACTTTGATTTAGGTATATTATATTTTTTTATATTTGATATATAAGTAGATTAATTAATTATTAATTGGTTTTTCTAATTTCCGATATAGTTATAGAAACTAAAGACTCCTGTCCAAATAGATTGTGGTAACTACAGGCAACTACGGAACCCTACATTGCGCGTGGCATGACACGCACTTGGCCGTTTTTTTGTATTTCTAAATATAGATTAATTAAGCACTTGACACTTTTTTATTTAAATATGTAGTGCAGTAATATTCATATCATCAATGTTCTGTAGAAAGTGCGATAAGTAATTTTTCGGCAACATAGTTTTATAGTAAAAAAACGAGTGAGCCTTACTGTAGTCGCGTATGATGTGTAACATTAGAAACCTCACTTTATATTAGTAAAAAAAGAAATAAAACCTACTACAAGAGGATTAAGCCATTTGAACATTATGTTCTTAAATCAAATATCAATTCAAAATTTCAAAATCAAATCAAAAGTTTCTGTAGGATTTGATTCCCGTGCGAGTTTCGAAAATTTGCGGCATAAACGGCTGTATCTTTTAATTGCTTTGGCTTAGAAGTTTGATTTTTTCACTCCAAGGGATAGTATACTGAGTATTAGATATGAATTTCAGCTTGATAACTCCACGCGTTCCTGAGAAAAACGGTCTTGACAGACGGACAGACGGACGTACACCAAAGTGATCCTATAGGGGTTCCGTTTTTTTCCTTTTGAGGTACGGAACCCTAAAAACCCTAATGTGCCATTTTTGCATTTAAAATTTTCATCGTCAAATAGTCTAATAATGGCTTATTTGCTCTTTCTACAAACCATTATCGATATTTCAAAACATATCATAGGAAGGCAGCGATGATAATGAAGACAACACAGAAATGAAGGTTGAAGACGAGAAACGTCTTCATTATAAGAAACTGGGCCGACATTACATCGGCGACGCCATCAGAAACGCGGACCGCAAGGTGAAGCTCACGGCCGCACAGTACCACAAGGATACCAAGATGTTGGTCACGGGTGAGTTTGATTGGAAATTTTATTTATCTTAATATACTAAGAAATGATTAGCGTTCTATACTATAAGAAACTGAGGCAGTATTATATCAGCGACGCCATCGGAAACATAATAACCCATATGAATATCTGCATAAAATTTTAGTAAGTGTTCTACAAAAATTTTTTGGTTTAGGCTCTTGACAGGTTGAAGAGAAATAGTCATGGTGGCCACTCACTATTCCGCAGCTTGATTAAATATGCTTGGTCAAGCCAAAGTGACCGTGTGTGAGGTGACATTTTGGAAGGTCATGCCATTCAACAGAAGTATTTTGAATTGATCAAGCAGCATGATGGTGACTGGCAATAGGCAGCACACTTAATTTATTAAATTGTACATTACATGTACTACAATGCGTACATTACATAAACAGATACTATAGTACGATAAAAACTTTATGGCGCTCTTGAAGTTAGCACCGAGCGTAACTATGTGCAGCTTTCAGTTCAGTGAAATCCCGCGCCTACATCACCCTACATTTCGTTTATTGCGCCGCGACTTGCACTTACTTCACAGCTAAGTTTGAATACCATGTATAAACACAACCTTTTTGAAAGAATAACTAACAAAAAAGCAAACGTGGGTAAGGCCGTTTATTTGGCCTCATATAACATAAAAGCAACATAAAATTATAATTACCGGGTAACTTAAAAGTAACATAAAAGGTTCTAAGGGCATATCTACAACATTAGTTTTAGAAAATTTTATGTAATAATTTTTTTATAGCTATCTTAAATAAAACTCGGTTTCATTTTTAAAGTTTTATTTTGTTTTTAATTAATAACGTAATAAGCCATATGTCATAAAATCAAAATAAGACATGAAACAAAAAATTAACAACATTCATAACCTGCATGACATACACACATGTATATTTTTTTTTATCCACACCAATTAGCCTAGCCCTTACCCCAAAGTAAGCACTGTAAGGCTTGTGTTATGGGATACTAGGGTAAGATAATTTATAATTTTATGTTGCTTTTATTCACGGAGATTCCGTATCCAAATCTTATTTATAGTATCCAATAGGAACCACAAAATTTTCTGGGATAATAGTATATATACTATGTGTTATTCCAGTGCCTCTTATATCTACCCACCAAATTTTATCCAAAGTTGTTGAGGCCTGAAAGCGGAACAATCATTCAATCAACCAGGTCAACGTATGAATGTTTGTTCCCCTTTCCTGCTTCAGCGGCTGAACGGAATTGGATAGAACTAGGAAAGTAGACATATGACACACTGGATTTATAACAAAGGCTTCCGTTTGTCCCGAATAAATGTGTACAATTTTGTGGGATAGCATAAAAATGTCGCAGGCAGAAGCTAGTTTTATATTATATATATTTAATAGCAATACATTACAAATTATATTAAATAGAACATAGCTTTTTTCATAGTTATTTTATTAATAATGTGATGTATAAATTCTTAGTAAAATTATTATTATAAATAATGATACCTTAAAATTATATACGATAATATGATACATTCCCAGTATAAGAATATATTCAAAACAAAATCAACACTCTTAACACATTTTGAAGTACCTTGTAGTTACGCGAAAAAATCAATTTGTAAATATGTAATAACTTTATCATTTCGCTTTGTTCGGCAGTTCCCAATGTGCATTAGGCTTTTCATCACTTTTATGTTACGTAACTTAAAAATAAACAACAATGGTAACATAAGTAACTTAAAAGTAACATAAAAGTAACGTAAAACCTAACCTCTTTTGAAAAAATCCTCGAATCTACGGCACTATGATGAATAATTAACAACGTCCATAGATTAAAACTCTAATTTAAACATTATATTTACTAAATAATCTATCAATTTAATCAAAATGATACAAACTTTCCCTTAAATCAGCTAAAAACTTTTTTACCACTTAACGAAAACACGATGGGGGCCAAACTAACTGACACACTACCTCAATAATGGCCGACAAGCAACTGTCATACCATAGATAACTTAGATAATGGAGTTGCCAATGACTAAAAACGGATTCTACTGCTCAATTGCTTTATGATTATAAAAATATGATAACTTAAAATTAGTAACATAAAAGCATTAAATACTTACTGGGACGTGGTGTTATTATACCAACTTTTTTTTTAAATAGCTATATTGTCGTAAAGTAATCAAGCATTGCCTAAAATAGGCGATTCTTTAAAGAAAATATTAAGATTGCTGATGGAACAAACTGAAACCTAATAATTAATTCTAACTATACATGGGGGAACATTTGGAACATTTCATTTGTTCTAGCAATTTGTAGTCTCGCAGTTAAAACTACTTAATTAAATAAAATAAAAGTAGTTTTACAGAAATTCGCGTATTTAAAATACTAGCAAAATTATACTTTTTGCAAGGAAAACAATGAAATATGGTAGTGTTGACGCATGAGTAAGAAGTTCTGCCTACACCGGAACGTCGCTCCATTTCTACCAGTAGAAGCAGCTTTGACCCACGTGATCAAAAAACACCCCTCTTCACTTCACTCTCTACGCAATTTAAATTTTGTACGCTCAACTTTTTTCGCAATTTTCGTTTAATTTTATTTTTTGTAATTACATTCGCAATATACGCATTATTCAAGTAAACAACTGAGCTTTATTGAAGAGTACGCATAACGCCAATACATTTGGTCCTTTTTCGCCGGATAATACGCTAGAAGAATCAGCGACTGTTGGAACCGACGGTTCAACGTCTGCAACGAACCAGGAAATAAGTCAGTCAAGGTCGAAAGATTCTACATAAGCACAGCAGTAACAGCAGCAACCGGAAGTCCAGGAGCCACTAAGCATAAGCGCAAATCGTGGGAGAAGCCTTTGAAACGCGCATAAAGGTACAGCCAGCCATCCCGTCTATTCCTGCTTTATTTCCACTTCCTCTGTGTAATACTGTGCATTTTGTCTTATTCCAGTACCTAATTTGTTGTGTATATTTGCTACGAGCCTACGACTCATCCTGCGAAACAGCTGCGGCAGTGACATTTCAAATCGTAAGTACTCCTTCTTTACTACTTTTCCCCAAAATGAGTGTAGATACATGCCTAGTGCGTGAAAAATCCCCTTACAAATGTAGCAATGAGAGCTTGATTAAGAATTTAGTGAGGAAACGCGGTATAGTTAAGGGTAGATTAACCAAATTTGCTAACTATCTCTGTAACATGAAAGTATAGAATATTTCAAGTCAGCCTCGCATAGATTTAAAGTTGCGTATTCAAGGGGCTTCAAATTTATATAAAGAATTCAATGATATTCAGAGTCAATTGGAGGATTTAGCCGTTGATTTGGATGAGCAGTTAACGCAGAGAGAATCGTTCGAAGATGGTTATTACAGTATCCTAGCGCAGGCTATAAAAATATCTATTGAACCCAAACCAACTTGCCAGCAGCTCCAACGCTTGTAGTCATAGTAGTAAATCTATAAAGTTACCTACTATTTCTTTACCCTCCTTTAACGGTTTGTGTGAACAATGGTTAGAGTTTAGGGACACTTTTCTATCTTTAGTCCACAATTCTCAGGAGTTAAGTAATATAGAAAAGTTCCACTACCTTAAATCGCCTAAGTGACTAAGGAAGCGCGGAACTGGTTATAAATTCGGTTGAGTTTTCTAGTGATAACTATTTAATTGCCTGGGAATTACTACTCAATCGTTACAATAATAGCAGATTACTGGTTCATAATCACGTTAAATCAGAGATTTATCTATTCACAATGCCAAGTATCAACAAAGAGTCTCCAGCTTTATTAAGAAAATTAATAGACACAGTTTTAAAGAATTTGCGTGCATTAAAAATTTTCGGTGAGCCAACAGAATCGTGGGATACGCTGATTATTTATATAATGGTATCTAAATTAGACCCAACTACTGAACGCGAATGGGAACAATACAAAGGCACCGCATTATCTGCTAATAATAAGCACAAGGCACAGCTTAAGGTGGATAATTTAATTGGTTTCCTTAATGACCGGGCTGACATGCTAGAAACGTTACAGTTATCACATAACAAGGCAAATTTTGAAAATAAAAAACACTACCCACAACAACATAGTCAATCAAAAGTTCACTGTAATGTTTCTGCCAGTAAGCCACCGGAACGCTATTCACGAGATGTCACTGGGAAAACCTGTTTGTTATGCAAGGCGAACCATCCACTATATTCATGCATAAAGTTTCTAAATTACGATTACGATAAGAAAATAAAATTTGTTAGCGATATGAAACTGTGTGTTAATTGTTTGCGCACTGGTCACACTGCCGATTATTGCCGTTTTGGTCCCTGCAGAAAATGTAACGAAAAACATAATTCGCTAATTCATAATGACAGTAACATATCATCGGTATCCTACAATGTAAATAACAATTCCGGCTCAGTTCACGCATTGCACCGCACTGAGGATCCTGCGCCTGCGCCGCTCGCTCACTCCGGGCGTAAGCCCTCTTTCCCCACGCACTCCGTCCCGCGGTCGCCTGCCGCGTCCTTATCAAAACAGGGGGCCAACCGCCTAACTGGATTGCTTTGGAAAACGCTATCGCTTACGATTTCATTTTGTTATTTCTAGCCCCCTGAGGTTTTCAAATGCCTCGCGCTCTTTTTTTTTCTTTTGCATTGGTAATAACAATGTTAAAGAAAATGAGCGTGAGGTATTTCGGCGGTTAGAAATAACAAAATGAAATCGTAAGCGATAGCGTTTTCCAAAGCAATCCAGTTAGGCGATTGGCCCCCTGGTTTCAATCATACATGCGAATAAAGCACATTTACCTGATGCACAAACAATAGCGGCTAATGTTGTATTGCTGTCTACTGCGTTAGTTGAGATAGCCGATCCTTATAATAATACTCATGTTGCCCGCGCGCTCCTTGATAGCAGGAGCGAACGTTGTTTCATTACTAAACAATTATGCGATTTACTTAAAGCGCCAGTAATACAGTCCACTCAACAAATACGA